AAAACAAAAGCATTTAACATACTGTATGTTCTTTAGAAACTAGAACTTGATGAATTTAAGAAAGCTGGATCAAAGCAGTTACCACAGCTGATCATATTAACCAAGCAAGATTTCAAAATCTATATGAAGGCTTAGGGATCTTACAGATGTGAAATCTGCGCACCAAAATATTTTATTTTCTAATTAGCTCAGTTACAAAAGTCAAATGTATATTTTTAAGAAATAATGGTTAAATACCTTAGGCAAATGTTATCAACTGATATTGGTTAAGAGCCAATTATAAAATTTTGACAAGAGCATGCTTAGAAAAAGGGTTGAGCTGTTAAAACCCAGTGTTCCACAGGCCAAGTATTTCTGGCAGCAACTCTCACTGTTATTTCTGAACTGCTTGAACCAGATCCACTTGGCTGGCAGAGCTGCATTTTGCCTATTTGTTGGGTTGCAGTCAGAAACCTGCTGAATACTCAGCTTCTCTGAAAGTGCTGTGTTTAGCTTTTAGCAATGAAAGCATTGCTTAGACTCATTAGAACACAACAGTTAAACTTTTTTTTAAAAACACACATTAAAGACACCAGACGCTGATCAATAGAAAAAAATAACTTCCTTTTATTTACCAAAAACAAAAATCCAAATATTGGATTGTGTAAACAAAATTCACAATCTGTTCCCTTTGTGACTGACACAGATGCTTAAGTCTTCAAAGTCTAGGTTCCATCAGCTCCTCGATTTTCCTCTTTGACAGAGCCTCCAGTCATTGAAGTCCAGGAGACAAATTCAAGTAACAGTTTGCTGCAACAGGAAGCCTCTCAGAAGCCAAATATATATGTGGCAGTTGAAGAGAAAGTTAAATGCACAGAGCCTCCTTCATATTTCAAGGTCTGCAGTGAGCTAACCAAGATGTTGTGGAGTCTCCAAGGCGTTTAAACTGTTCATTTTGCCCACAAGCCCTTGCGAAAATAGATTTTTTTGTGGATTACAGAAAATTTCAATGCAACAAAGCATAAATCACAGAAGACGATTACAGTCTGTTTAGCCGCTTAAACCTAAATTGCAAGCTGCAGTACCTTTCCATCAATTTTTTTTCAGCTGGCACACTTCGAGTTGAAGGGAAATAACTTTCCTCCCACTAGTGGTAAAAGCATTTACGGGGCAAAAAAATACAATGTAATCAAAATAATTCAATCAACCTCTGTATACAGTACAGGGCACAATGTTCAGGTATTTTAAAATGTTGTTCTTTTTGAGCTATAGCCAACACAACACAGATGGGGACAACAGGCGTCACAATAGCATTATCTGTTATTCTGGTATTCAGAGTTTTTAAAATGCACTTATTACCAGTGATCAGTTGCATCTTTTTTAAAAAAATCTTCCATCTTATTCTGGCAGTTCAAGCGCTGAGCCCAGCTGGAACTCTTCTATTACAATGTTGTGACAATTCAGCCCCTTTTGTGTTGCTTTCTATGCTACTAATGTGCTGCTACATGTGCTGTTAACTGGAATGATCGAGAACCCCCTTCCCTCGGAAAGAGCCACCAAAAAATTGTTAAATGTAGGTCCTAGCATCAATTTTTTTAAATATAACATAAATACATTATATATATATTTTAACTTGCTCTCTGCTCTACCAATTTTCTCTTCCTCTACCACAAGACTTAATTTTTCCATTTGTATTCAGCCATTCTTTCCTAGTGAAACACAATAATTTTTTTGGAATCTGTTACAATGTCCTGGAACTGCGTCTTCCTCCCGCTCTAAATACCGCAACTCACCAAAAGTCTATCGTTAAGCAGTTGCACCAAAATTTTACAGTAAAAGAAAGTTTACTCTAATGTTTACAGCCTATCATGGAAGCAATCTTCATACCAATAGTGATGACTCGCTGATGAAGGAACTCCAAATAATTGTGGTAGGAAGGAACACACCACATCACCAGCTGATCCTATTTCCCCAGCCCTTCCCTCTCATCACTTCCATTCAAAGCCCCACAAGCAGCTGTTAGGAATATTACCATTCTGACAGGTACATCTTGCTCCTAATTTGCATCGATTGGAATGGCTGGAGGAAACAAATCCTTCCTTCACATGATTAATCACAAAAGCATTGCACTAAACGAACAGCAAGATACACGCCAGCCAATGTAGGACAGAGAAGGTAGTTCCCTCAAGTAAACAGTGTGCTGCATTTTAGGAGGTTTGACGGGCTCTATAGAATTAAGTGATTTGCCACAGAAAACAAATCAAGCTGTTGATTAACCAGGCTTCAAAAGGGAATATCTTATACAGTGAGTCCCTGTTTCGTTTTGCATTTTTAACTGACCTCCACAACAGTAAATTTTCTTTTCATTTCCAAGTAGGAGACCACCACATTTTCATGGCTGACTGGATATCAGAAGTATTGAATAGAAATCAAAGTGCTAAGGTTTATTTCAGGCCCAAACTTCAACAATGTTCAGGTTATTTACAGTGACTGCATTTATCAGATTCTGTAATTACAATCCTTAGAAATGCATATCAGTAAATGTAAACCTTCAACACAAAGGCATAATTACAAGTTCTGAAGAGATATTTAGGATTAGTGTATTAGAGCAGGGTAAAAAGGAGGTCAGGCACAATCTCCAGCTGGCAGTCAGTCAATTATTTAAAAAAAACAATTCATTTAATGGTTTATCATAAATTTAAACTGCATTTTTATTCTTACTGAATTTCTGGAGTCATAGGGAATGTTGGTCAAAGTTAAAATATTTTACATCAACGAAATTTGAAGTTGTCTTAACAAACAAAGCGGTCACATAGCTGACAAAAAAGATTTATCGTTGCACTACAATGTCTTTCAAATACAGTATTCATAGAGAATCATGGATGCACTGTGACCTTCCAATTTGGTCACTGTCTTATGCACAAGTATTTTACTGACTAGATTAGTAGTATGCCAATCATTTAATTCAGTTACCAGCTTTAGTCAAGAACTATTTTTCTCAATAGTGAAATATTTAAAAAGTGTCTTACTCCCAACAAAATTGTCAAAAATATATAATCCTGACAGAGGCAAGTCCATAATATACGCAAGCTTTCATTTCCAAATGTATTCGTCTCAATATAGCTTTGGGACAACTGGTCCAGTCATTTGCAAACCTGCATCGTGAACCATAGTCAATCCCAACCTCTGGATTATGCTAGAATTCCACTGTATTACTTTAAATCCACTTCCCAACTGACTTATAAGCAAACTACAAAATTTCAGTTCTCTCTCTCTCTCTCCCTTCTATATCTTCCCAAACAAAACACCCATCTGTGCTTCTTCAGCTCACAAAGTCAATTGAAACTGCAGCGTATGTGGTACCTTTTCTCCGAGGGGTGTGTGGTAGGGAGGAGGGGGGGGGGGGGGGAAGCACCAAGGAACCTCTTATTACAAACTGGAAAATATAAAGTACTTTGTTTAAACACTTGCCTAAGTGCTACACAGTCCAAGACAATATATAGTTTTAAGCTATCACACAAAACAGCTTTTTTTTAATACAAGTACTTTCCAAGAAAATAGGGAATTTGTGTATTAACACGCTTATATATATATATATATCATTTTTTTTTTGTCCCTGATAAAGAAAAATGTGGAATAAGCCACAAGAATAGAATACAGCATCTCCATCCCCATTTTTTTTTGTGTGTGTGTGTGTGTGTGTAGGCAACAGGCACTTTGATTCGTGTTCACGTAGACAAATATAAATTAGCCACATCTGTCCTCGTCCTGGGGTATTCTGTTTTTTTTTGTTAAAAACGAAAATCTTTGGTCCTTGAACATTATATCTGCCTTAAGCTTTCTGCACATCTCTCTCTCCACGTTCATAAAGTGAAGTGCGTGCATCTCTAACCCGGGAGCCAAGAGTAGCATAAGAGCGACTTCTGTCGTCGTCGTCTGGTAATAGTGAACCACTTTGCATTCATCGGGAGCAAACCATTTTAAGTTTTCAAAAGCACTCTCTCTCTCTCTCTCTCTCTAAAAAAAAAGCAAGCAAGCAACTGCGATGAAGCAGCCTCACTTGGTATATATTATCCCATACATCGAGTCTGCAAGCCCCAAATGCAATCATTTTACCCCCCCCCCCCCCCCACCCCTCCCACCCTCTCCCATTTACAGAAGGCAAATGCACACTGATCACTGCAGATAGCTCGGCTTTGCTGTGCTGTAGGTCTGTATCGGACACATCGGAGAACACACGAGAGGGAGGATCTCTCTCTCTCTCTCTCTCTCTGTCTCTATCTCTTGCACAGTTCTCCCATCGTAAATACCCCCCACCACCACCACCACCACCCACTCGGGCTGCCTTGCCCTGACTCACGGGCTGGGGGTGCAGAAAGCCTCGCTGTCTGGTGAGGGGGTTCATTCACCAGGAGACAGATCCCAGGTAGCAAGAGCAGCGGAGTGCTTCCAAACCACAGCCGCTCGGCTCGGGTTCAATCCCAATCGGGGAGGGAGGGAGGGAGGGCAGGGCAGGGCGTGTTTTTATTTGTTCTTTTAGAAATCATTAGGATCTGGCTCATAAATAAAATAACGAGAGCTTTTTGTTTTCTCCTTTCTCCCTCCCTCCCGCTTCCTCTTTCATATAAATTTATATATAAACTAAGCTCAGAAACTGGAGAGCAGATCGACACTGAACAAAAAAAAACAAATCATTGCCTTGGGGTCAGTCAACCCCCCCCCCCCCCACACACTCTTTTCCAAACGTTTTGAATGCATCCCCTCTCAACCCCCTCCCACCCCCCCTCGCCCTACTCCTCCAACCTCTCTCTCACTCTCTTTCTCTCCAGAACAACAACAACAATATAGATGAAATGACCCAGTGCAGATCCCAATGCGCTGCTATTATTATCATCATCATCATCGTTGTGGTGGTGGTGGTGGTGGTGGCTGTGACCATGTCTCTGCTCAACCCCCCCCCCACCCCTCCCTTCCCCTCTTTACCTTGCACAGCCTCCCCACCCCCATACCCCCCCCCCCCATCAGTTACAGGGGAGCCAGGTGGAGTAGGTGTGCTGCTGGCAGGTGAACACGGGCTGCACATGGGCGATGTAGTAGTTGTTGAAATTGGCGTCTGTCACGTAAGGAGCGGGTTGGTAATAACAGGTCACATTGGCCACATTGGGGATGATGTTCTGCTCGGCCAACACCCGCAGGGCCAGCACGGTGATGAGGTTCAACGTCTGTCTCCTCTCATGGCCCATCAGACACACGGTGCTCTCGTTCACCACCCTCTGCAGGGTCATCAGGTAATCGTACTTCCTGTCCTCCAGCCCCAGAAAGTGGTTCTGCAGGTAGGACTCCAGCTTCCTCTGCTGCTCCCCGATATCCGAGAAGTCAATGAAGAAGCGGGAGCACATGTACCTCTGCAGGGCTTTCATCTCGCTCTCCGAGGCCGCCCGGAAGCCCCTGACCAGCAGGTTGCAGTACTTGAGCAGCCCCCCGCCCCGGATCTCCTCGGGGTTGCGGGTGGCGATCACCTTGTGCTGGAGGTGCTCCAGCGCCTGCTCGAAGTCGCCGTACACGCTCTCGCCCAGGATGCTGGGGTGGAAGTGCTCGGACATGGGGTTCTCGCTGCACTCGTAGAAGAGCAGCAGCGAGTCCAGGTTGATCTGGAAGGAGTCGACGCTGAACTCGAACTGCCTCCTCAGAGAGTCCACGAATTTCAGCTCCACGTTTTTGCCGCTGTTGTTGCTGAGCGAGATCAGGCTCCAGCGGTCGGAGTCGTTGCAAACTTTGACCATCTTCTGCACGTACGCCTCCTTGAGGGTGAGCGGACTGATCTTCTCCTTGTTCACCCCCTCGGGCAGGAAGTCCAGCAGGCAGTCCAGCACCACGTTCTTCACCGTCTGGAACTCCTTGTCGCCGCTCAGGTCGGCTCGGAAGATCAGGTCCAGGTCCTTGTAGCCCAGTCCGCTCTGCTGGTGCAGGACGTGACTGGCAGCCGAGCCGTTCAGCCGGACATCCCGCACGCGGATCCGCTTCTCCTCCAAGCGGCTCCGCACCACCTGCACGATCTGCCGCGGCTTCACCTCCAGCGTCGGGAAGTTTCCGCGCCCGTGGATCGGGATGGTCTCGGTCAGGATCCGGTCCAGGCGTTGCACTTGCTCCCAGTTCAACACGTTGTAACTACATTTGCTGGCGTTTTCATCAGCCATGGTAGACGGCACCGGCTCGCGTTAAAGTTGCAGACGGCGGGGGTGGGTGGGTGGGGAGGGAGGGAGGGAGGGGAGGGGGGGGGGTTGTGTGTGTCGGGTTTTGTACCTCGTTCCCTCTTTGCTTTCTGTTTAAATGCTGCTTGTATTCCCTTCTCGGCTGCTGTGTTTTGTGGTGTTGCCTTATCGTCCCTCGGCGGCAGTAGTGGTGGTGCTGGTGGTGGTGGTGGCGGCGCACAGACTGTGAAGCTTCGGCTATCTGCGTATTAAGTCTCCCATTAGTTTTTATACGGCTCCGCTGTGCAGTTCCGGCTGTGAGTCACGGGCACGGAACGCCTATTGCCATTTGCATAAATTGCTCGGGGGGGTTTTTTTTTCCTCCTCTCGGTGTGTTACCATTCCCCCCCCACACCCACCCCCTCGGCAGCTTTTAAGCGACAAGAAGAACAACCCCCACCACCACGATTGCAGTTTGCAGCCCCTTTGGTGAGGCTCTGACGGAGGTCACGGTTTGCATTGAGAGGGATTGAGTGAGAATGGCCACCGGACTCCAGCTGACCAGGGGCTGTGCTGATTGACAGCCGCCTCCGCCAATGGCCGCTCGCCCCCGCCTGTCACTCCCCCCCGCCGCGCACACCCGCAGCCAATGGGCGACGCGAGGGGGCGGGACAAGAGCCTCCAGGTCCTGTCGAAGTGGAGAGAGAGAGAGAGAGAGCATTCAAATAAAAAGCAAAGGCGGTTGTGCAGCCGATAAGGGAGGAATCCACCCGTCCATCCTCCCGGCAGCTGCTTATCGCTCCAAACACAGGCACCGTGTGCCCTTCAAGAGAAAAAAAAGAGCAAGAAACGCACGCAAAGGAGATGTGTGGCACCTGCTTTCAGAAATTCGGTGCAGGAATCCTCTGCTATGAGTGCAGATTAAAATGCTCTTGATTCCTGGAGGTATCTGTAACCTTCGAGCCCATGGGACCTGCTGGGATGGGGGGAGAGGGGAAAGGGTGTTCGGTGTTCTTTTTTTTTTCCTAAGGCATAATGTGAATAAATGATTTCTAAGTCGGGCATATTCAAGTCCTACCCGCCCCCGGGGCTGCAAATCGTTATTATAACGCCATCAGTTGAAGTTTAGGTACTTGCAGTGAAACTGCGAAGTGTTGCTTCCCCTCCCCCAATATTGCGTGGCGTCTTTGCAAAGAAAGTGAAACAAACGTGATGCAAAGACTGCATTCAGTTCTGTATCACAAGTCATATCTCACACTCAGCTCAGGGTGTGTGTGGGTACACGGTCAGTGCAAATGGTGTTGTGTGTGAGGCTCCGGCAATGGCGAGCGCTCTGAGAGCCTCTGTCCGTGTTTCCCATGAAGCGAAGGTCAGCTGTAAAATGTGCCTCATTCTTCCTCTTAATGTTAAGTATCTTCCCGGATCGCTGGAGTCATTCCCTGCATTTCAATGTACCAGAAGAAGTGTTCTTCTCCCAAACTCCCGCTCCCTACGTGCTTGAAGCACTCGAAACATTCGACACCTAAATGTGCCTCTCACGACTTTCTTTTATGGAACACAAATGGGGTCACTCGCCCATCGACAGAAAACAACCAAATAAAGATCAGGATCGTGAATGGACGTGTTGTCATTCCCACAGTCCATTCCCCCCCCACACTGGGACCGCTGGTGTTCCCAGTGTGCTGACTGCGCCTCCTATTGGCCGTACTAGAAATAACACGTTAGTGGAGATTCCTGCTCTCTCGGTAGGTGTTCCAATGAAGAGGAACTTTCCACACCGACAACAGTTTACATTTATGTCGTGATTTTTCACCAATACCGACTTGCATTTATACAGCGCCCTTCATGCGGCCCCAATGACTCGGGGCGTTTAACAGGGACAACGCTTGATGCCGAGCTGGGGAGAGGGAGGAGGTGACCGTAAGCCCAATCCAAGAGGAAGAGCTTCAGTCGTGATCTAAAAGAAGGAAAGGAGGGGGCAAGGCGGAGGGATTTGGGGAGAGAGTTCCAAAATTTCAGGGGCAAAGTAGAGGGACTTCAGGATGGAGTTTCAGGGAGGTGCAGAATGGCTGAAGGCTTATCCACCGATGGTGGGCGGAGTGATTGGGGGATGTGAAACAGGGCAGTGTTTGCTGAGCGAAGGGAATGGTAGGGCAGTAAGATTGCAGGAATTTGCAGAAGTAGGGTTGGCTGCTCAGGTATTTGAAAGTGAAAATGAGAATCTTGAATTTGATCCACTGAGGTATGAGGAGCCAGTGGAGCTGAGAGAAGACAGGGGTGATGCCCTCACGGAGCTTGGTGTGGGAGTGGGTATGGGCTGCAGAATTCTGGATGGTTTGCAACTTTTGTAGGAAGGATCTGGGGAGTCCAATGAGGGGAGCATTGAAATAACCAAACTTGGAGGTGTTGAAGGTTCAGATGAGAGATGAGGGTCTCAACAGCCTGTGGTGGAGGTTGGCAGTATTGTGGAGGTGAGGAAAAACAGAGTCAATGTGAGCCCAGATGTAAGATTTGAAAGACAGTTGTGGGTTGAACAACACATTGAGTTTCTGCACTGACTCCATGAGATTACAATACAAAATACAATACAAAATTACATTTGTAAAGCGCCTTTAATGTCTGGAGGACGTCCCAAGGCGCTGAACAGTCAGGGGTTAGGACCTGAGTAGGGGCGGGGTAGGGGGGTTGGGATCAGGGAGGGTGGAGGGTAGAGAGGGTAGGAGGGTGGCCAAAGGCACGGTTAAGAGAAGGATCTTGAGGTGTATCTTGAAGGAGGCAAGGGAGGGAGCGAGGCAAAGGGAATGTGGGATGGGCTTCCAGAGGGTGCGGACAGAGGCTGAAGGCCTGCCTGCTGATAGTGGGGCGGGCTGGGGGGAGGCCGGTGCCTGCTGAGCAGAAGACACGAGCTGCAGCGTTCTGGATGAGTATCTGTGCAAATAGATGTGGTTAGCTCATGAGGTGAGAAGGTGCTGATAGGAGCCAAGTAGGAGAGCCTCAGTCTTGTCAACATTGAGTTGCAGAAAGTTAGAACTTATTTAGGACTTGATGTGTGACAGGCAGTTGGTCAGAACAGCTTTCCCCATAAGGTCAATAACGTTTGACACTTAGAGAATAGCTCAAGCAGTAGGGTCATGTTCGAATGATTATATATCAAGGTTTATGCGATTTGAAATGAATTTCAAGACCAAATGAAATTGCAAATGTCATATGGGTCTTTGCAATTCACTCAGTTTATTAATTTTGTGCAGATGAAATATTATGATTTTATATCATTGGGAAAACAGGATTGCAATGAAATCTTTACCTTCACATCTGAATGTCTAAAATTGTTATGCACAAGAACACTTGCATATTCTGTTGTTTTCCATTGTACTTTTTGCTTTACATTTATTTTGGGGCTTCATGGCCTTGCCCCCTCCTACCTCTCTGACCTGCTATCTCCCCACCAACCTGCCCGCTCGCTCCGTTCATCGGGCTCCGGCCTGCTCCATGTCTCCCGCCCGATCCGCCCTACCATCGGTGGCCGGGCTTTCAGTCTCTCTGCCCCCACACTCTGGAACTCCATCCCATGGTCCCTTCGCCTCCCTTCCTCCCTTGCCTCCTTCAAGGCCGGTCTCAAGACCCTTCTCTTCGACCGTGCCTTTGGTCTCCCTCCCCCACCTCTCTGCTTTCCCTCATCCCTACAGCACCCCTCCCCCCATGCTCGGACCCCGTTACTTGACTGTTCAGCGCTTTGGGACATCCTCCTGACGTGAAAGGAGCGCTATAAATGTAATTTTGTTGTTGTTGGTAGAATGGAACAAAGCTCCTGCACTATAGCTAATAGGAAAAACAGAGCAACCTTTGAGTTAAGAAGTTTGAACCTTAGTGTTCAGTTGAAACCCAATTTCAAATGTTTTGGAATGAATAAGAAAGAATAAACGTAAAAGCAGGTTGTTTTGGATATCAAACCCACTCCTTCCGCAGATTACACAAAACATACCCTGGTATCCTTTTAACTCTCCACTCCTACCCACTTTATCTCCTGGGGGAGGTTCTGCTTAGATATGAATCAAGCAAAAATATCAGAATATTCATGAATCCTACATTGTCAGCCTGAAGCAGTGGTAGCACTCTTGGCTTCTGAGTCAGAAGGTTGTGGGTCCAAACTAAACGTCAGAACTTGGAATCGCATTCTCTAAGTTAACACTCCAATGCGTTACTGGGGTCTGTATTTTTTGTAAAGGGCACAAATTTATGTTAATCACAAAAGGAATCAAAGAGCAGTTTAGAAAAACATTTTTTTCTCAGAGTGTAGTTGGAATGTGGCATTCTCTGACACTATTTGAAACAGAGTCTAAGTTATTTGAAACAGGGATTTGATAGATGTTTGAAAAAGAGGAATATTTAAGGGTGCTTGGAGTGAGCAAAAGAGTGGGAATTAGACTTATGGAGCAAAACCATCAGCACAGTCTTCAGGAGCCAATTGGCAAAGCTTTTTCTATTATCAGCTCTTTCTGTTTACAATTGCTAAGTCAGTTTTCAAGCCAACTAGACAGTTGTCATTAATTATAATAGTCTTCTTTAAATATCTTACATGTGAAACTATCAAATGGTTCTGGAAATCCAATTATCTTCACCCTAGGTTAGTTGCCTCACCAATGCACTCCACTCGATTTGGAAGGCACAGTTGTGTCAAAGGCAACATGAAATTTTGTATTAAAGTGTAGCTAACAATGAAACACTTTGAGATGTCTCGACGACGTGAAAAGCGTTATATCAAATGCAAGGATATTACATTCTGAGTGCACATGTGGACTTGATATATTAACCTTTTACCAGTGACAATTCTAAATACTTATGAATTACGCCATTGCATTGTTGCTGTGACAACCACTATTTAGAACAAAGAGAAAACATATGAGCTTGTATTTTGGAACAGCATGGTACCTTTTTGCTATCTATCCTCTGCAACCATGACCATTAAAAGTGCAATACTCAGTTACTAAAAAAAAGTACAAACAAAATAAGTGCTTTTCTCTTCCATTCCTT